CAACGTTTTAGTTACACATTTAATTTAACAGTAAAAGCCCTGTTGGTCCCTTTTTGACTCAACTCTTTTTATAGAACATTGTTATCCTTCCGACATACCTTTTGGTGGAAATGCCAACATGATTAGAACATTTACTAATGTAAAACAAAACGACCTGACCGGTACCACTTACTGGAAACTGGCTTTCGATACATGTGTGCTTTTTCCACCTAGGGAAAGCTCACTGTCGAGATATTTTGCCAGAGGGAGTGAACCTGCCTGGCCATTGCTGGTGACAAAAGGCAAGATAACACTCTTGAAAGATAAGGTGTCCTAAATATCTCCAAGCTTCCTTAATCCTAAAGAAATGAAGATCGCTGGGTTGCAGGAAAGAATCTTTAGTGCTTAACACCCTTGATCTGGACAGATGTGGAGAATGGAAGCATGGACAATCCAGTCCAGTTTGGGTAGATTACACCTGCATATCTCACAGAGGCGCCAGTCAGGGGTACATCTCCGTCAACAGTCCTCAGACTTATCACTGAGCCACATGAAGTGGAGGATGAACGGTAAATAGGGATACGCAGTATGTTGCAAGTCTGATGAGGAGCGGTAGTATAGCTGCACTGAGGTCATGTCACCTTCGATTGTGTTATACATGTAAGTGTGCCATGACATCTGTCAGGTGAATGTCAGACACATTGTGAATGTCGTTGCATTTGCGTACTATCAGCGGGGCACCGACTCTTGCTCTTGATCGGAGCAGAGGCCTCCTAAACAGATCATGAAAAGGCTGCTGAAAAATGCTTTTCTGCAGCAGCAAAAAGATACGACCTCTCCAAGAACTATATGATCTACAACCCATCTTTAAAAGAGCATTTTTACGTATGCAGCTTTGCTTGTGTTGAAGTCTGTGTGTGCCTATTTCGGTGAAACACAATATTTTAAGATTAAAAAAAAAAAGAAAAAAAAAAGAAAAAGTGAAGGCAGGAACTGTGAATACAAATAAAGACAAAATGGCCTCTCTAAGTATACACAGTTGACTTTTGGCACTTATCTTGTGAGACATTAAGAAGCGCCTCCACCTTGGAAGGAATAATCCATTTAAACCCAGGTCACATGGCTGTGATGGATGTACAAACAGGAGTAACACTTAATAACCTCTATCATGCTAGGTGACCCCGTGGCCCACAGTGGGTACCAGTCTGTTTATGGGTGGTACTGCCAACGCACTGTCTGTGCTGAAATTCTGTTGTGGTTAATGGGCCTGATTGAGGGATTAGACTGTCAGCCCAGTGTGAGCCCTCATTTTTCTTCCCATGTGTGGAAGGTACCCCCTGTGCCCCACTGCTACACCCAACCTTTCTGCTCTGCCGTAATCTGTCAATGGTGACTGAGTCCTTTGGAATATACAGGAGCAAGACAGTGTCCATTAGGATGAGCTTTCCTGACAAATCTGTTTTGACCAACACAAAAGAGTTTGGACAACGTGTTCCTGATTTTTTTTTTTCCCGTCACAGTGTTAAGCGTCGTCGATCTGCTTTCTGACCATGATCTAGATTCCCATCAGAAAAATAATCTCTCCTTGAACTTTGTGGAATTTTAAAATTAAACAGGTTGCACTAAAAAAAGAGAGTGAATGGCACTCACGAGAATGCAGATGGCCAAAGCAAACCTCTTGTGTCCCATAGTTGATCGTAAAATAATTTTGAGCTGTGCTGAAAACACAAAGGGACAATCAAAACCAATACAAAGACAATTTCCTGCCTCATGGCTCTGAACCGTGAGAGGCATTGAGAAGGTTAATTTTCATTCATACGGAATAGAAATTTGCCTCTGATTTCATTGCCTTATTTGCCAGCCTGTGCCACATATGCCAAAAAGCAGGCTTGACTCTCTTGGAAGCTCGCTTTTTACTCATTTTTGTGAGCTGACTTTTTTACTGTATCACAGTGACCGAGATTAGCACTTTGACAATGGCACAGGCGGATCCACCGTATTTGAAACTAATTTCACTCTCATAATCAATACAATATTTTGGGTCAGTCTCTGCATAACCTGGTAGTTGGTAGTCTAAGGTGTACAAAAACTTTCAAAAGCTTGCCAAACCTATTGGAAACCCTTCTCAGAGCACGGGAGTTCTGGGAGCAGAGGGAAAATGAACAATAGAATACTGCACTTGAGATAGCATACTGTAGTTACCTATAAATGAACACATAAATAAACCCATCCTCTATTTGCCCTCTGCTATGTTTGGACCTTCATTCGTAATCAGCTGCATTGTTCTGTGAAGATGCAGTTATAGGAAGTGCTAAGCTGTTTATTTATTGAACAGACTTGAATACCTCCCCTCAGCAGCAAGCTTGGCTCGGCACTGCCTTGTACTTTGAAGTGAGGGCGTCTGGCAGAGTGCTATGACGGGCCCCCACTGGCAGTGCAGCACTTGACTACACAATGAACACAGCAAACTGCAATAAGCTATGCCCTTACCAGCAGCATACAGGAACAACAATGATCACACCCCGTCATGCTTTCATGAATGGCTGTGTTGCTCATAATTTGGGAAATGAAGATATACAGTACAGAGTGCATTCAAGCCAAGATCAAGCCGTTAACATTAGGGGGGGAGTTGAGGAAGTTTTTGTTTTCTTTAAGCACTCTAGCTATGCGGAATGTATCTTAACATGGATCAGTACTCACATGCCCTCCAGAGAATGATGTTGGCTGTAGAAGAAATCGGAAGATAAACTTTACGGTCTCTGCAAGTTATCTATGACACGAGTTGCAGGAGTAGAGCAACTAAGATATCCTGAACTCATCCCAGCTCTATCGTGACTTTTTCACCTCCTCAAAATCAGATCAGTTGCACAAGAGCATTATGGATTCAACATAAACTAAGAATGCTGCATTGCTGTGAAAGCAACGTGATGAAAGGGGTAAAAAGAATGATGCCAAATATTTTTTGTGCATATGTAAACTTATCTTGGAGGAGTAAACAGGACACCAAACATTAAAAATCATTAGTCAAATGTTTTCCAGATTGCTTGATTCAATATTCTATGACATCACAGTGCTGGGGGATGTTAGAGACCCTGTCCTCCTCCAACTTCCATTTCAGAATGCCTCAGCGCTGCCCAATAGGGTTCAGTCTGGTGACATTCTTGGCCAGTCCACAACATTAACTTCTGCTTATTTGGCAAGAGAACGGTTCTGTTGGGTGTGAGTTTGGGGTTCTTATAATGTTGAAATTCAGACTCAGTATGTCACAGTACACGTAGCACTCAAGCTGCTCGAGACCATGACACTCCCACCACCATACTTTGTTCTATGCAAGACACCCTTGACTATGTACTTGTCACACATGCATAACACCATCTGAACCAAATAAGTGGTCTCATCAGTCCACAGGACATGATTTGAGTAATCCCTGTCCTGTGTCTGGATTCGGCAAACTGTTTGAGGGCTTTTCTTGTGCTTCATCTTGCTTGTGGGATGACAGACATGCAGATCAGTTTGATGCAGTATTTAGAATATGGTCTGAGCGCTGTCAGGCTGACCCCACATCCCTTCAACCTCTGCAGAAATTCTGTCAGCACTAAAACATCTGATTATCAACCTAGTCCTCTAATTTGCAAAGACAACTTCTGGATGTGATGCTGAACATGTGCACATAACTTCTTTGGTTAACCATGGCGAGGCCTGTTCTGTGTGAACATGTCCTGTATGCCCCTGTGCTGCAGCTCAGTTTCAAGGTGTTGGCAATCCTAGTCTTGGCCATCTTTATATACAGCAACAATTCTTTTTTTTTTTTTTTTCTGATCCTAAGAGAATTCTTTGTCATGAGGTGCCAAATTAAACTTCCAGTATTCAGTAATAGAGTGTGAGAGCGATATAAACAACTTCAACACGTTTACTCCCCTTTCACACCTGAGACCATGCAATACTCATGAGTCGCAAAGACTAGGGAAGGAAAATGGCAAATTCAATGCAATTTGGACTGTTTCACTTTGGGGTGTACTCACTTTTGTTGCCAGCAGTTTAGATATTGCTGTGTGTTGAGTTAGTTTGAGGTGACACTATGTTTACATCATCATATTTATGGGGGGAGGGGGGGTGACTTGCCAATGAGCCAGTAGATGTATTCTTGTTTTGATCTAACTTGCTCACTGAGGCGTTACTGCTGCTGTAAATGTATGAAAGGATAGCTTGAGGGAACAGTGTTTGCACCACAGGTACATAATGCTTTGCTAGTAAAGAGTGATCAAGTCACCTGACCTCTTGGAATACGACTCTGCTACCAATTACAAGTCGCAAATCCTATTTAACAGATACTCACACTCACACTGACTTTATTGAAACCTTATAAAAAAGCATTCAGAAAAAAAAAAATGAAAAGCATCTTGGTCATTTTAAATTATTCATATTAATTGATGGGTACTATCAAGATGGAAGCACTTTTGTTGATTTTTCTTTCCTGTTAGTGAAAGTAAATCCACATACCAATTACAATGTACACTACGTGCATATAATATCTAAATGGGGGAAAAACTTCTCAATAGTCACACCGTTCCCAAAATGTCATTTCTCCACACCTCACAACTTTTGCTAAGATAACTTCAAAGCCTTCTTCCGTGAACAAGTTCGATATATTTGCAAAGTGACTTGTTTAATGAGCACAGTGCATGGTTCACTTGAGGCCAGGCGGTCCCATGAGACATTTGGCTCGCCTAATTCAAGGCTACGTTCACTTTTTAACAAGTTGACCTGGTTGGTATGTTTCAACATTCTGTTTTGAACATAGTATCTTATCAAATTTACTATAAAAAACAAATATTACAAACATTTGCAATTGCAGATCCATAATGTGTGCACATTAACTTGATAACTTGTGTGTGTGTGCGTACATACACACACACAGAGAGAGAGAGAGAGAGAGAGAGAGAGAGAGAGAGAGAGAGAGAGAGAGAGAGAGAGAGAGAGAGAGAGATGTCCTACATCAAATACAATAAAAATAATCTTACCATAGATTCCTGTGGAGATACACGGGAAGGCCTGTGGAATGAGTCAAAGAAACATCGGTCAAAGCATATTCACAGTAAACAAGCATGACACAATTCAGCAAAGCCATTGTGACTTCTACACTGGCAATCACCTGTTGAAATGAAATGTTTCCTCACAAACTAATAAACTGGAATGGCTACATATATTAGTTCCTCTCTCCCCTAAAAAGTGACCACAGTGTAATAGTTTTTGCTTTGTAGCACTTTGCAGCAGACAAATTATTCAAGTGTGGCGTTATAGCTTAAAATAGTTCCATTATTTTTTACTTGTGTCGGCAAATATATTATGATACATAGGCCTTGGACTCAGCGTCCCTGTTTCACATTTATCTTTTTAAGTATATTAATAAATAGTAAAGCGTTTTGGGTTTTTTTTCTTATTCAAAGCTTCCATTTGTCCTCAAAAGCAGCTGAAGTTGTGTTTTGCATTCTTCCTAACGAGCAAGCAAAACATTAATAAATGACAGATAAATGTCAGCACTATCTAACTAATGGGCTAATATTACAGCCACTAATATACTAGCACACTAAATATATGACTATTATTAAGCAAAAACGGTGACAGCTCGTTTTTGCATTCAAAACAATGCCAATTACAAAACAGATACAGCGATACGTGATACATGTAAATACATTATTTTGCAAAAAACAGAGCATCGTTTGCCTGGTTCTTAAGGCGATAAAGCTATGAAGGTCAGTTTATAATCTGAATCTTTGTGTTTTGTTTAAAGAATAACATGATTTTGATTGAACAGCGGAATGTAATAAATTATAAATTTAAAATAGATGACAAATGCTGCACAGTCATCACCACCCCAAATAATGTCTTCATCATAGACTCACACAAGTCCTCTTCAGTGTTATCACAGATTTCCAGCCACATTTCACTGCTAAATGTAAAACACTCAAATAATAAAACAAATAATTTTGCAACCCACAGGTGACTAGAAAATAAGTAAAATCAATGAGGAGAGTGATTCTCTATTTTTCATTCCCCCCCCATCCTTTGAAAACTTTTTTTTCTTTTTTTTAAGCCAAGCGGAATGTGCCTCTGTTTGTATCCATATTAACCAGTTCTATGGTTCCATCTGTCACAGTTCATTTTTCTTCTGCAAGGAGATTTAAATCTTTTCAAGTCACGGTGACCTTTCCAGGTGACCGTCTGACTCTGACACAAACAACAGATGATGAAGCGTGGCCATTTTTTTAAAGACAGTGCCAAGCTCAGCCCATGGCACATTATCCCCCCCCCCCCAACATTTTGCAATTTTTTTTTAATTTAGGGTTTGAGATGATAAAGTTGCAGTGACTTTTAAGTAGTGAAATGTTGGTACTTTGAGATAGTCCAACTAAATTACACCCCAAACAGCACAACTACACTGAATGAGTGAATTTAAGTATTAGCAAAATTGAGTATATTTGCCTGAAGCCTAAACAAATTCCTGGCCAGCCGTGTCGATGTGAGCTGCTTGCTAATAACTCGTGCCAAAATGTTTCCTACCATGAAAAGCTAAGGTAATGACATTTACATATGCATCAAATATAAAGTATAGTTAAAACCTTTTCTAGTTTCTGAGCCGTGTGATCCAAGGAGTGTTAACAATAATGCATCGCACCACACCGGAAAATGCCCGATAAATCCAAGAAGTGGTGCTGTTCAACGGAGTAAACTAAGTAAAGCATAACCTACTTTTCGTCTTTTGTTTTCTAACACCAATGCGCTGTGTAGTGGCTAGCATACATACCTGTGGATATGCTTACATTGTGTGAAGGTCCAGAGTTAATTACAACGGGCAGCAGTATATAGACAGTTATGACCTATGATTCCTGCTTCAGGTTATTATTTCTATCTGCAGCTGCTCATTAGAAGTGAGTCAGCATGTCGGCCTGTGTTTGCATGAGGCTTGCCTGACATGTTGCCTTGTTGATGATTCTCTTTGCGTAGCGAGTGCGCAGAAATTGGTCACTTGGGAAATTACTCTGTTTCCGAGGCTCCTCCCGAATCTATCACATCATTTTAAAGTGGAACACCTTTCCTCTCAGCACTTGCGCACGCTTGTTTAGATCGCAGTATATGAGCAATGACAAATGACTAAAAGCAGGTACTGTGATGATTGTAAGCATGACTGGACTTGCGTTCCTAATATTTGACTATTTTTACCATTTTGACTCTTTAAGGCCACTTTTGGAGTGAGTTCAAATTGATACATTCTGTGGATAAGTACTGCTGCGTTTGTTTGTTCGTTTCGACTTAGGTGGATTGCAACTGTCTTTCTGCGAGGCAGAAAGATACATCCGTAAGGACCTGGGTACAATTGCACATCTTTTATATGCATAATTATTCACCTGTATTTAATATGCTAATAAGGTCCATATTGTCTGATTAAAAAATGAGTTATTAACTTCAGCGTATGACCAGAATTACGCATAGACTGCTTTCGTACAACAGGGTAACCGTAGTGCCAGTAGCGCTACGGCACCCTGCAACTTCCAGTCATTTGTTTAGCAGCAGGACATAACACAGTAAACCTCAGGCAGAGCGCAACAGTGCAGCTGTAGTTGCCACCTTCACGTGAATGAATGTGACGGAGATGCTGCAAAATAGCTGTGAGCAGGCAGGTAAAGTGGACAAAACCTTTCATGGGCACGGTAACTTCTGCTCGGGGAACACCTCGTCTCGGCTGGCTGAGCAAATAGAACCGGACCCAGCGTGCTGCGCCTGTAGCTGAAAGCCCTCGAGCTTGTTTGCACATAGAAGGTATGATTATAAATCACAGCAGCAAGAGTGTTCTCATGTGACCACAAATTTAATAAGAACAAATGTGGCTGGACCACATTTAATATATTGTTAGTGTATAACAATTTTGTGTGTGTGTGTCTCTCTCTCTCTCTCTCTCTCTCTCTCTCTCTCTCTCTCTCTCTCTCTCTCTCTCTATGTATATATTTGAATACAAAGCTGATGTAGTTGTCGGGAACCATGACTTATTCTGTTCTATGAATGGCAACAGATGTATACACAGGTTAGTTGTGTCCAATTGAATTATAGACAGACTTTCATGTTTACAAGACTACAATTTTTCATTTCTTTTAAATCAACCATACTAAGCAGAATCAAAAACCGTGATCACAAAACCGAGAAACAAACCTAACTGTGGATTTTGTGAATGTGTGCTTTTTAGAGTTTGAAATTGATTGGAAATTAATTCATCGCTATTATAACTTGGCCACATCTTTTATTAGACATACCAAAAAAAAAAAAAAAACACCATACCAAACAAACCCCATATTCATTTACTTTATTCCTAGCAAAATGCTGGATTTAAACCTCAACATTCACCACTGAGAACTAGAACTCAATATGCCTCGAGGCTAATGTGACTATTCCAATGAATGCTTCATGTAAATGTAGAATATGTGTCCATGGCATGTAGCATTTGAAGTAATTTGCATTTCGGAAGTCAAAGATACAGGTGGGCATAAAAAAAAATCAAAGCAGGGACTGAGAGGATTTACGCTGCATCTATCAAAGTGGTATTTCATAGGGAATCTCAAAGCGAAAATGCCTCTCTGTGAAAGATTAAAGTTAAAATGTAGAAGGGGAACACAGCAAAGCCAATATGGAAGAAAAAAAACCCATGCATATCGGATTTTCTATATAGCGACACCGATCTGTGTGGACTCATTTTTTGCACTTATTTGTATGACAATAATTTGCATTGCAGTTTGCCAGGGAGACCAAAGAAATAAAAATAGTGCAAGAAATTACAAAAAAAATACAAAAGAACCCAAAGTCACATGTTGTCATTTTTTTCATACACATTACAAAACTAAAACTTACTAAACCTCTTAATAGGTGTGTGTGTGTGTGTGTGTGTGTGTGTGTGTGTGTGTGTGTGTGTGTGTGTGTGTGTGTGTGTGTGTGTGTGTGTGTATGAGGGGAAGGGTTGCATATTTTATTTATTTAAATGTCTATACCTCTTAAGATGCACCATACAAATCTGTGTTCATCCCTGGGTAATTAGTAAACCTAATATCCAAGTATGAAGAAACCAGCATTTTTTTTTTTATTTAGATGGGGGGTGGGATTGGAGGGGGGTATCCAGTAATTGCAACGTACCCGTCAAAACTTCAAATGATACAATCTGAATGAATCTGCTGAAGCAGAAAAAAGCCCCACTGTCGACCCATTTAGTAATGGCTTGACTGATGGGACATACTTTTTGCCCGTGGAAAAGTGTCCAGTGCGCATACAGCCATATCAAGGTAACTGGGTATTGCAAAGTGGACAAGGAGCTATACCATTTAACCTCAAATTGATTTTGTGGAAGGGTTTTAGCATTGTGCAAGAAAAAATAAATGCAAAAAGCGGTTATTTAATTACCATATTTTTATTTTCAGTTAGTTTCTTTTGACACGAATGGGGGCAGCTGCATTGATTGTTCCTTAAATGTGTTTCAACTGTCTTCCACATCCGTACACGTGATTAATGGAGCAGAATTAACAAACAGGAGCAAAATCACCGTGATTAAAAACCTACGATGAATATGAAACACTTCATGTCATGCTTCAAAATATCCGAGGGCACATTTGCAGCATATGGAGATGGATGGTTTGAATTATCATTAATCCTCCAATACAGGCCCGTGATTTGTTCTACAGTCGTTGATAATTCCTTGGTGGTTGATCAAAATGAATAGTAAAATCATGAGGAAGCATTTTCATGAGACATTGCTTTCATTTTCATCCATAAATCAACTTCAACAACCCGTTTAATCACATAATAAAAAGGTCTGCGGTCTAGCAACGTGAAAGCCTGCTGGTGACACACTTGTGTTGTGAGGCTACTAATTAAACTTTTTTTTTTGCTTTCACGGCCTCCTTCAACATTTCAAAATTGCCATTTCAAAAGGGGGCTTCAAAGTCCCAAGCCCACTTTGAAATTTGAAGCGACGGAACTGTACACATGCGGCGACGAGCTGTAGTGCACTCCTT